TGGGGGGCTGTCTGGGAACTGCGCTCTGTTGGGGTGGATGGTGGGGTGTTTGGGAGGAACTCTGTGCTTCGTCTCCAGTTTTTCGTGTGGCCCACGCCAGCCACCCCCACTTCATTTCAGCCAGTCCCTCCCGTGTCTGCACCCTGCACCTGTCCTCCGCGGGTGGACATCGTCTGCCTCCTCGGGCACACCCGCCCCGCGCATCCCTCCCATCCCCTCTGAGGCCCTCAGATGTCCCCAAACCCTGTCCAGCGTCCGCCCACCCCCTTCATCCCGGCCAGCAGCCCTGCCTGCCCTCATCCTCCTTGTGCTCCAGCCTTCGGCCCCTTCCTGTCCACACCCTAAAACCCGCTTATTGTCCCTCGGCACACCCAATGGCACAACGCCACCGCTGAGTAAGCCCATCTCTGCACCCCACACCTCTTAAGCGGGGTACCGGGGAGAAAACCAGCCACTGAGACCGCGGTCACCTCAGCCGGACCCCCTGCCCTGTCAGCTCTTCAGCGGGAGCACTCCGGGCTCCTGCGACGGGGCGGGGGCTGCGAACCGGGGCTACGGGGGTGGGGACCCCCCACCGAAAGGTGCCCAGAAGCTCCACGTGAGACCGCGGGCTCCGCCGCTGTGAATGGGGTAGCCTAGCGCCTTCTCCCTCCAGCCCCAGCGAGGGGCCAAGAACACCAGTGGGATTATGTTTCATTTGTTTCAATGCAGAACTCGGGGTGAAACATGGATTTTTTTAAATAAAATAGAGGAGCGAGGAGAGAGGGACGGTGACAGCTGACACCGACTGAGCAGCCTTGCGCGGGTGACGGCTGCCGGCACCGTCGGCCGCTTCGGAGGCGCGCGGGATTCCGGCCGAGCACAGACTGACTGACCTTTTGTCTCCCTTGTTCTGACCCATCTGCCCCGCACAGAACCGACGACGTCCAGGAAAACGTGCTGGCCGTGTCGCTCTTTGTCCTGGTGTCGCTGCTGGGGTTCCTGACGCTGAGCCGGGGCTTCGGCCGGGACCTGTGGCTGCTGCTCCTCTGCCACGTCATGGCCAGCTGCCAGTACTCGCTGCTGAAGGCAAGGCCGCGTCCGAGTCTTATTCCCCCCCCCTACCCCGCGCACCCCGAAAGCACAGGATGATGACCCCGGCTCTTCTGCTTTGTGTTCTAGAGTGTCCAGCCGGACCCCGCCTCGCCGATACACGTACGTCTCCCCGGAGGCGAGGGGCTCGTCCGGAAGGGAGGGGGCCGGCCAGACTCTGTTCAAAGGCAAAATATATCAGTGCACTGAGTCTGTAAATAGGAATATTAGGTAGAAGTATTCTGCCTGGTGGCCAAGGTCAGGCCGGGCGGAGAGCACGGCGTGCCTGGAAGTGGTCCTGGCCAGGGTCGGGGGGCACAGAGGGCGTGGGGGGTCCTTCTCTGTCCCACCGGACTCCTGGCGGGCGAGGCCCAGGCTCTGCCGTCACACCGCCTGCGTCCGTGTTGTCGGGCCCCGCGTGGATGCTGGACCCCGAGCCAGGCCTGACTGTCCGTGCCTCGGTTTCCCTGCGTGTGGATAAGGAAGTAAAAAGTGCCTGGGGGTTCAGCGGCCCACGCGGGGTGCTTACGGCGGCCCCGGGCTCAGAGAAACTGCTTACTAAGTGGTGTCGATCCCTATGGCTGATGCCGCCCACGAAAGCCTGAACCGCCAGCCCGCTGACACGAAGCTCGCCCCTTCCTGCCCCCATTTCCGAGCACGTCCTTACCGCTCACCCCGTAACGGGGGGCTGCTCTGCACGCGGGACTCTGGCCCGATGTGACATTCCTCCACGAGCTCCGAGGCGCACCCAGCTCCCCGACCCGGCCGCACTCCCCTGGGGGCGCCGAGGGCCCGCGTCCGGCGCTGTCCCCGCCGGTCCCCCACCTCGAGCCTTCGTGCTCAGACCACCGCCTGGTGGACGCCCAGCTCCTCCACAAAGCTTTCCATGGTTATGGCGAGCTGCTGCGGGCCCCTGGGGACCCGCTCCCGCGAGAGAAAGCTGCTTCTTCCCTCCGTGCCGCTTTTTAAAAATTCATACCCCGGCCTCGGGCCCGCCTTGAAATCGGCGGCAGCTCGCGTTTCGTTCACGGTGGCTGAGAAAGGCTTACGATCGGCCGATCACGCTGCTCTCCTGTTAAATTCCCGTTCCCGGTAATTGGTTTTCACGTAACATCTTGTTTTCCCCCCAGACCCTGACTGTCAGGGTGAGTGGAAGCCGCATAATTAGGGCATTGAGATGTATTTGTCGTGATCATCACCAGGAATCCAGGGTCCGCGGGGGGACGTGCGGCTCCGCGAGGCGTCGTCCCAGCCGCCCTAGATGCCGCACGCCGCCCTCCCGTCCCCCCGTCCCGTGATGGCACTCTGGGGTCGCTGGTTCCTGGGGGGCTCGGGGAGGGGCGCCACGTGCAGGGAAACATTCGTTTTGTGTGTGTGCTTTCGGGAGCAGTGCAGAAAATGCTGGTAAAGATGGGAGGCGGGTACGGCCGCGTGACCCGTGTCATCGCTGTAAGCCGGAGACACGCGGTCTACGTGGCTCTGTTCCCGGAGGCCCAGATCGGGCATGTCGCAGCGAGGTGGTAAGAGGCGGCTTCTCTTGCTGTCACAGGAAGCCAGCATCAGGCATGTAACGCCGTCCGGTGATGCGGTAATTAACGGGCTTCCACAGGCTTCCACGCAGAGCCATCGTGGATTTGACTAGGCATCTCTCATGGTTCCAGTGAGGAGAGAGAAAATGCTAGACCTTTCCTCTGGCCGCCTGACCGCGCTGCACAGGCGTCCGGTGGTGGCTCGCCACCCCCGTGTGTGGATGGCACAGCCTCAGGACGGAGGCGGCTGGGAGGGGGCACGCGGCCGGCCAGAGGGGCGTTCTCGAACCTGCCGCCTGTCCAGCCGGCACAGCGTCATCTGTCAGGGGCTGTCAGGGGACATCGCTGCCACGTTTGCAGGCGGGGGAGGGGCGGCCATTCAGGTCAGTCGGTTCTCACTCCTACGGGACTGACTTGTTTTTCCTCTCGGTTTCTTTCCGGGATCACCAAGGCGGCAGATTTTGAGCAAGTCGTTAACACCGGGAGATGGCCAAATAACAATAAAATTCTGTGTGCCGCTCTGTACGTTTCAGACGTGGATGTAGAATGTAGAAGGACAGGCCAATGCGCGTGGGACAGTAGACCCCGGGCCTGGAGGAGATGCCTCTGACCGTGAAAGAAACAGGTCTAGAGAGCTTTGAAAGCTGACGGTTGGGAGGACCGGGAGCGTCCTGAGGCTCAGAGCGGGTGGAAGGGTCATGGTCATGAAGCTGGTTCTGGGCACGTGTGGGTTTATATTCAGGCCGACGCACGCAAAATGCAGACGGCCCTGTGAGAGGCAGCAAACGCCTGGGATCCCCCGCGTGGAGCCCGTGCCACGGCTGTCCCCGGCGCCTGCAGAGACCCAGCCTTGCTGGCCTGGGGCGGCACCTGGCAATCTGCGTTTTAACGCCCCCAGGTGCCGCTGCTGGAGGCAGTCTGCGGTCACCCGTGAGAAACGCCGGGGTAACAGGCAGCACGCGGGTTTCCAGGTGTGAACCCAGCCACGCACAAACTCTGGGGTCCTGGTCACCTCTCACACGCGTCACGGCCCCATTCGTCACTAACGGTGACCGACATTCACACGTCATCATTAGCCAGAGTCCATATTTTACCCAGGTTTCCCTGGTTTGTCCTTGTCCTGTTTGAAGACCCCATTCAGCACACCCCCTTACCCTCGGTTGACACGTCTCGTCGGCTTGTCAGGGCTGTGACAGGTTCTCAGACTTTCCTTGGTTTTGATGACCCGGACAGTTCTGAGGAGAATCGCTCAGGGATTTCGGAGACTGTGTCTCCGTTGGGACTTAATCTGATGCTTAGCCCGTGATTAGACTGGGTTGTGGATTTGCAGGACAAAGACTCCAGGGATAAAGAGCCATTTTCACCATTTCACCTTGAGGGTCGACACTATCAACACAGCTCAGCCCTGTTGATGGCGACCTTGATCACCTGGTTAAGGTCATGTTTATTGGGAGTAGTTCTGAATGACATAAAATAACTCCTCAGTTTACAGGACTGGAAATAAGGTGGTCAGCTTCTTTTTAGTGGCTCTCCAAAGTTAAACAATATTTATCTTTTTTGGTTGTTTATTTACTTTGCTTAAAAAGTACTCTTCAAAGCACGAGCCGTTCCAAATTGTCTTCTCTTACTTTTCATATACTAAATTCCTGCCATGGAAAAGGGGCAGCACTTAGGGCGCCACCCCGCCCAGCGAGGGGGACGCCCAGGATGGGAGGGCAGCAGGGTGTCAGCCGACATCCGGAGGGACGTCACGCTGAGGAATACTTGGATGTCCACTTCGCTGCCCCTCGGTGAGACGCCCGCATCTGCCCGTTTGACATGGTTCACGGACCTGAAAGACAGGGAGTTGGACCTCAAATAAACCGTCCTGTGGAATGAAATGATGGGCTAAGCTCACAGAAGCGCTTCTGCCTGTGTCCTCAGTTTCTACAGTAGCTCATCGAATTTCTGCCATACTGGGTCTGAAGAAGCATTTTCCGAGCCAAGCGCTGAGAGCGTTCTGACCCTTTGGCTGCTGCTGGTCCCCCATCCGCGTCCTCCAGCGTGTTTTCCATCCCCTTATGGTGCCACGTGGGAGTGACCGAGTACTGCCTGGCCGGGGTGTTTCCGGGGTTCAGCTTTCTGTGGGGCAGTGGGTACCGGACAGAGCGTGGGGTCCAGGGTCCTCGGAGGGGAAGCCGACACCCCGAAGCTATCGCGACGGCTCTCCCCGCTCTCTACACTCGCTTTGCACGAGTCACGCTCACGTTACGTGTGCAGGGATGGTGACTGTGACAGATTTAGCGAAGTCAGGCCGGGCCCGGGGCCTGGGAGGTTCCGGCACAGAGTGCAGCATCGCCCTGGGGTCGCCAGAGCCGGGGCGTCGTGGCTGGGAGGGCAGGTGGCCAGCGACCAGGGCCGCGTCCGTGCGCTGTGTCCGTGCTCCGCGTCTGTGCATCGCGTCCATGCGCCATCCCCTGGCATCTGCCCGTGGGCAGGTTTCTTAGTCCTAATGCCTCAGGTTCCTCTCGCTTGATGGAAATAGCTGTAGTTTTGGGGTCTGAGGATTGGGGCGCGGGTCCAGTTAAGGTGGGCGGAGCACGCAGAGGCCGGCTGAGTGGGAGCTGTCGCTTCACCTCGGCCGTCGGCATGTCCAGGCCCCGGAAGGTGGGCGGACGGGGACACGTGCTCACCCGGCGGACGGAGGGGGCAGGGATCCCCCGTCTGCCACAAGCTCGGGCGGCCACCGGACGTGGGGCGGGCATGTGGCCCGGCCATGCCAGCCGGTTCAGCCACCTCTGAGGCCCAGGCGCAGGCCTCCCCCTTCCCTCCCCCGCCCCCCGGGCCTTCTACGGCTCCCTCAGACCCCATCTTCCTTGTAATCAAAGCCGTTCGTCTGTTCGGTTTTTTCTTACCAAGCCGGAAGCGTTTGAGCAGCCCAGTCTCCTGATGAGAGGGTGACAAAGGCTCCCGGTCCCTCAGCCACATGCCCGCTGTCCACAGGGCGGGCGTTCCGGGGCTTTCCACAGCCTCGCTCGCCTCCCCGAGCGTGGCCGTGATACTGCAGGTCGGCGGGGCCGACCGGAGACCCAGGCGCACGCCCCGCACCCCATAGCACCCCACGGCGCCCCCCGAGTGCTTCAGGGCTACAACGGGAAACTTGACAGCTCTTGAAAGGTGGTCCATCTTCACCTGGAGGAGCGAGTGGAATTTTTCGATTAAAAAATGCCATTCCGGGGGGGTGTTGACGATGGAGTCACACGTGGAAGAAGGGAGTGGAAAGCGGAGAATTCGAACAGGCGCCGAGGCGGGTAAAGGTGGCTTACGGGCCGCGTGCCCGCGAGACAGACGCCTGGAGCGGTCTGGGGACCCAGCGCAGCGTGGGGAGCGGGGCGAAGCGTGCGGGGGAGGGCGGGCTCTGTCCCCAGGAGCCGCGGGTTCTGTCTCGTGAATCACAAATACGGAAAAAGCGTCTCACACCCAATAAATTAAGTGTGACTTGGCAGATCTCCGATGGCGTCTCAAACTTGTTCAAGGCCACAGGCTTTCAGTTCCTAGAAAATCTATTTTTAACCTTTTAGTAAAAGGAAGCATCGGGACGAGGGGGAGGTGGCTATTTAATTACATTTCCTGACCGGCGTCTGCTTGAGGAAACGTCTCGCGTGCCTGCGTGTTTGTGCACCGAGCGGCTCTCTGTACCAGCTTCTTCTGACTTATTTTGCTGTCCACTCGGTAAGAAACGCCTTAAGATTTAACTTGGGCTTTCGTTTCCTTTTCCCTTCTTTTTTTTTTTTAATGCAGAGAAAGTGTTCCCACACCCATTAATCTGTGACCTAGTTGGATTCGACAGGGAATTTCATAAGACCGCAAATATTCCTTCCAGACTGAGCCTGGACTCAGGGCCGAACGTTGCCAGCCCCTGTGGACAGTCAATGTTCCCTCCTATTAAAAGATGGTCTCGGGATAGGCCCGTGTCTGTTACGGAAGCGGCGGCAGTTTAAATTGCGTTTCTAAATATAACACGTTCAAGGCAGGGACTAAAAATTCACATCTGAAACCATGTCGCTTTCATCTTTCCTTTTTATGCTCCAAATAGCTCATGGATTACGGGGAACATTCTCCCCCTAACTCGCGTTTGTTGTTACTTTGAACCTCACGAATGACGCATCGATTCGTTAGATGCGAATTCTTCATCGGCTTCTGCTCAGGAAACTTGATGTCACGTCTTTTTCTTAGTTTTTCTGTCCATTCGAGTAGGAGAATAAAAATTGCCCCTGCTTCTCTCCTCATGGCGATATTTCAAAGGCTAAAACGAGATCTGTTAAGTTTTTGCTTCTCCTCAGAGGAAAGTGTGTATACATGGCAGGGGACTTTTTGTAAATTATGTCACTCCGCTGTGCTACGCTAGGGCATTTTGTGCAATTTCTGCAGCTGGAACTTTGACTTGCATAAGGGCCTTTGTGACGCACAGGGACCTTGAGGCCCACAACTTATAATCCTATTTCTCATTAACCGTGGAGCTCAGGGCGGACCACGTAGTGCAGAGAACGGTTGAAATTGGTTTTGCATGTGAAGCGAACGATGCCAGCGGAAGTTTTCCTGGGGGGAAGGTGTCGAATCGGGTCTCGCTGCAGCCAAGGGTGGGGACGGCATTTTCGGGCAGGTGCCGTGGGGTCTGGAAGGCATCACGTGCCTGACGTTCTTTGGCGGAGTCGGCATCAGCGATTTTTCGTCGGTGGGTGTCTCGTGTGTAGGACTCATGTAGGGCACAGGAAAGAATGTGTTTTGAGGGATGAATCGTATGATACGGTGGGAACGTTAGACGGTGAGGATTTTGCCATCTGAGCGACATAGCGGTGCCGTTCAGAAGCTGCGTTTGTCTTCCAGGGCCACAACCGGATCATAACCTACAGCAGACCGATCTATTTCTGTGCGCTGTGCGGCCTCATCCTGCTTCTCGACGCCGGGGCCAAAGCCAGGCGCGCCCCCACCCACACCGTGTACGGCCTACAGCTCCTCTCCCCAGAGTCTCTGCGGTCGGCCAGGGACCTCGTGATGGGTGAGTCCGTTTGGGGTCGTCGGGCCCCGACGTGGACCTACCCCGGGGGTTGACGTGCACGTCGTGGTGTCTGGACTGGTCCCTTGGTGCCCGGTGCGGGGCGTCAGTGAGATGCCCCGGGATGGGTGGGGGGGCTTGGCCATCAGGGTGGCAGCTGCAGCCTCATCTGCAGGGACAGATGCTTGGACGACACCTGAGTAGGCGTGGTTCTCAGTCCAGGGGGAGTCCCGGGTAGACTGGTCACCCAGACTTCCTCGGGCACACTTTGCCGGCCTTCAGCTCCAGGCAGCGTGCGATATAAAACAGTTCCTTCGCACATACTCGTAAGGGTCTAGAGCCTGGACTGCCGACCCAGGTGGCCGGCTGCGGGAATTCCGGCCCCGCTGCTTTACCAGCCATGTGACCTCGAGCAGAGGTCAACTGTCACGTGGGCGCAAAAATAGCGCCTACCTCAGAGGTCGTTGCGAGTCTGAGATGCTCTTATTTATCCGTGTAGAATGGCGCCCGGCACCATGTTAGCTATTACTGTCGTTATCATGCGAAGCGCTGCCTCGGCGTCGGCCGAGGCTCTGAGAGTCGCGATGACATGCAGAAGTTTGCATGCAAGTCATGCGACCTCACTGACCGAACGAGCTGATACAGGGCAGCCACCCGGGAGGCCGCCCCCGGATCTGCTGCTCGCCAGCTGGCCATCTCGGAGGAGACCGCCAACACCGTGGGCCCCACACTAACCCTTCTCTGCCGCCCATGACGGCTCCAGGCAGCCCCCCGGCGGGACGGGGGCAGGTATGGCGAAGGTTTCCCCTGAGCTCCTTATAGGTGAGAACTGGAGGAGACGGTGCACCTGCTGGCTCACCAGCGGCTCGGCCCTCTTCCCGCTGGGCGGTGGCAGGCTGTTCACCCCCTGCACCCCCAACACCGCTCCCCTGCACCACCGGTGAGGGCGGAGCAGCTTCTCAACACGAGGGGTGAGGCGCCAGGTTTCGGGGTACCCCTGAGCTCAAAGAGGAAACAGACATGCGGGAAAAACCAGGGGCCGAGCCGTCGACTTGACCCCAGGCTGTGCCCTGTGCTCAGGACTGTCCGCTTCTGCCCGATGCAGTTCCCGTCGCCTTTTTACATTGCTGGATGTTGGGCGCATCGGACGAGCGCACACGCGCACGCACGCACACACACGCACGCACGCGCACACACACGCACGCACACACGCGCAGACACACACGCGCACACACACACGCACACACGCACGCAAATGTGTGTGAACGCGCGTGTGAACACGTGTGTGAGCGTGTGTGAGCGTGTGTGTACACGTGTGAACGCGTGTATATGAACATGTGTATGAGCATGTGTGAGCGCATGTGTGTGAACACATGTGTAGTAACACGCGTGTGAACGCGTGAGTGCGTGTGTACGTTTGTGGACGCGTATGAACATGTGTGTGAACGCGTGTGGATGCGTGTGTGAACGTGAGTGTAAACGTGTGTGTGAACGCGCGTGTGGACACGTGTGTGGGCACGTGTGTGCACGTGTGAACACGTGTATATGAACACGTGTGTGAACGCGTGTGTGTCAACGCGCGTGTGAACACGTGTGTGAACGCATGTGTGTGAATGTGTGTGTAGTAACGCGCGTGTGAACGCGTGAGTGAGTGCGTGTGTGTGAATGCGTGTGGATGTGTGTGTGAACGTTTGTGTGAACGTGTGTGGATGCGTGTGTAGACACGCGTGTGAACGTGTTTGGGGCATGTGTGAACGCGTGTGTGGACGCGAGTGTGAACGCGTGCGGCCCTCTTCCCGCTGGGCGGTGGCAGGCTGTTCACCCCCTGCACCCCCAACACCGCTCCCCTGCACCACCGCTGAGGGCGGAGCAGCTTCTCAACACGAGGGGTGAGGCGCCAGGTTTCGGGGGACCCCTGAGCTCAAAGAGGAAACAGACATGCGGGAAAAACCAGGGGCCGAGCCGTCGACTTGACCCCAGGCTGTGCCCTGTGCTCAGGACTGTTCGCTTCTGCCCGATGCATTTCCCGTCGCCTTTTTACATTACTGGATGTTGGGCGCATCGGACGCACACACACACATACACGCACGCGCACACACACGCGCGCGCACACACACGCGTGCATGCGCACACGAACACGTGTGTGAGCGTGTGTGTGAGAATGCGTGTGTGAACGCGTGTGTGATTGCGTGCGTAGGAATGTGTGTGTGAACGTGTGTGTGTGAACGTGTGTGTGAGTGAACACGTGTGTACATGCGTGTGTAGTAACGTGCATGTGAAAGCGTGAGTGAGTGCGTGTGTGTGAATGCGTGTGTGGAGGCGTCTGTGAACGCGCGTGTGTGAGCGTGCATGTGTGAGCGCGCGTGAACGCATGTGGACGCGTGTGCGTGAATGCGTGTGCGTGGACGCGTGTGGATGCGTGTGTGAACGTGAGTGTGAACATGAGTGTGAATGTGAGCGTGAACGCGTCACTCCAGCCCGAAGGCCCGTTTCTTGCAGCCACGCGCGTCGCTCGCCCGCGTTTTGTGCTCGCGGGCCCGGGATGAACGTCCGTCGTGGGGGTTCGTCCCTCGCTGACGTCGCACCCGCGATTAGCGAGAGAACGAGACCCGTGCGTCTTCTCGTCCCCCCGGTGTCCGCGTGGGAAGGTCGCGCCTCTGAATTTT